GCTAAAGTCCAGCCCACCCACTTAGCGTGCTTTATAACTGAGGCAGCGTTCATTCATTCTGCCCGCTTCACGCTCACCACATCGCTGCTACTCCAGCCTCTGCAGATCCTCAAATCTCCTCCTCCTCCCCAACCACCACCGTTTAAAAACAGTTCAATCTCATATAACCCCGGTGTTTCCCATATCGTGGGATTGTAGGTTGCAGATGGTTCATTATTGTACCTTGAACTATGTAATCTAGATTCTGTTAGTGAAGACTATTAGGTGGTCTCCTGTTCTCGTGTTCATACTGTATTCGAAAAATTGTAAATTGTAAATTCATGGCTCTGCGGGGGTTTGTGATCTCAGGGATTATCTGTGTCATGCTTGTGCAGATCGTTTCAGAGCATCACGAGCAGAGTCACCGCCAAACTAAATGTATGTGATCTCAAATAAATGGTTAAATCTGACAAAGTGTCCTGTCTGAACTGTCTCTAAGTGTAGCCCTGTGATAGACTGGTGACCTGTCCAGGGTGTCTCCTGCCTTCACCCTAAGTCAGCTGGGATAGACTCCAGCCCCCCCGTGACCCTAGTGAGGATTAAGCGGTGTATAGATAATGGATGGATGGATGGATTTTCTGTTTTTAGATTATGGAACAGACTGTTTAAAACCGGAACTTTGTTTGCAATATTTTGAGCCAAAAAATTAAAAGACACATTCTGGAGACACGTGAGACTTTCATTCATTCGCCGAAAGAGGGCACGCTGTGGGACCTTTACACATATGTATGAACCACTGACCTTCTTACACTTTAAGCCAGCCTCTTAGCTTAGTTTTCTTTCACTTTGTTGTCTGGAGTGGACGGAAAAGCTCGGTGGCAAAAAGAAAACCTTTGAATGCCTCGACTGAGTTTATAGTCTGTCTCCACACACTGTTGTTAATCAGTTATAGTCTAACAACACAGAGAGCCAAAGGGCAATTTCATTAACCTGTTTACAACATGGTGACAATAAGAGTTCTTTAATCACATCAACGTTACACTTAAATAATAAGGAAAAGATTCAGTGACATCGAAGTCAGGTGCAATCCAGGAACAAATACGTTAAGACTAAATCCTTTGCAGTCCTACAACAACAAATTACTAAAACTGCACAACAATCCTTTAACTATATTCTCATACAAATTGCCTGCCTTTTCAAATGGCACAGCATATAAACATTTCCATTTGCACAGGTGCCCTATCATTCAACAAGTGTTTCACCCTGCAGATCTTTTTCCCTTGTTGAGAAGCAGAGCCCTTATCCTTATCCTTATCTCAAATAGGATTAGACATGTTGTATGGATGTGTGCGTGAGTGAGTGTGTATACTCACGTTTTCAGGTGTGAGCTTCAGCAGCGATGTTGTTTGGACACTGGATCCTCTCCCTCTTCTCTAGCGACCACAGAAAGACAGACAGACAGACAGGCAGGCAGGTGCTTGGTGTGTTTGTTTGTGTGTGTGTGCAAGCAAGACAAGAGACATTTGCTCCTTTTATCTTGCCACTTACCACCCCCAACCCACCAACCCCCGCCAGGCCAGCCAATGGGAGCAGGGCTCATGGCCAACGCAATGAAGACTGATTCACAAGGAGTTCCTAAAGCGGCAATGACTGTGTCTCTCTACACACACATGCACGTATGTAAATAGATATTTGACCACAAGCTGTAAGGGTACACAAATATGGACATAGATGACTGGCTACTCCTAGAAACAATGCGTTATTATTTTAAAAATGATACTAATAATAGAAAACAGCCATATTGTTAGGTTTTTGTTTTTTTTTGTTTTTTTTTTAAGTATTGATAAATCCATCCATTATCTATACACCACTTAATCCTCATTAGGGTCTTGGGGGGGCTGGAGCCTATGTATTGATAAATAATGTTTTTAAATAGATTCTGCAATAATTTTCAGTGAGAAATATGTATGAAAATGGAGTTTCATACATCTGATATGGCATAATAGGTGACTTTGATATCAGCGTGATCAGGTTCATTTTGTCTGTTCTGATTTTAGATTATAAAAGTTTCTTTTCTTAGCAGACAATGAGTTATTTAGAAAGTAGCTGTTTTACCTTTTTGACATGTTTTGACTGTCACTTCAGTCTTCCTCAGAAACAAGGCTTTGATATCCAATTAAAAAATGTAATGTCTGTAACCTCAGCTTAGTTTACGGATGATGTGGGAATCAGAAAACACAAAAGAGAAATTTAAAATCAATAATCAGTATATGGGCATGCAAAGTCTGGAGAAAAAAAAAATTAGCTTGCGCCTTATATGATTTCATCTGTGAAGTTAGGTTAGAAAGAATAACAGTACTCGCATTTTTGTGTGTAAATATGTAAATCCTTCTACTGAAATCAAGAAATGATTGTTATGAATAACTCAATGAAAAATAAAATCCTACTTGCATAAAAAAAAAAACAAGAACAAACAAACAAAAAAAACGAATAGAATCTACAAAGAAAAAAATGCCCCAGTTAAGGTCAGGTAAAGATTTCACAAGTCTGTTAACTCTGTTCTGTGAAGGAGGTAGCCTTGTTTGCAAAGGAGTTCTGTGGATAATGTGTACAAATGTGTGGACAAAGTTGTGCCAGGACTGAGAAAACTGTTGTGTTATATTTACAGGAACGACTGGAACAGGAGGTGTGCCTTGTTACCAAAGGAATTAAGTGAATTTGCAATAGTAGAACAGTTGCAAATGGAGTGTGGGATATGTTTAGTATGATTGAGTGTAATGCAAAGAAACACACTGACAGGTGCATTGTTGATAAAATGAGAATTAAACCACAATAACTCTTGATGACACACACCAATAGCACACATTTATCAAGGGGTAGAAACGTCAGTCAACCACCCTGAGAGCCGGGGTTGAATCAGTACAAAATGTACCTGCAAGTTGATGTTTGTCTAATAAGGAGACTTCATCACTGATGAATTTTACACTAGCAGCAGTAGAGAACCAAAACCAAACGGAGCTGGGGATATGATTGCGGTGTAAATGATGGAAGCTCACCAATTGTAAGCAAAAAAAAAAAAGGGGGGCAAAAATGAGGAAAAAAATTCTGGAGAAACCAATTTTATAAACGTGGCTTCTGAACCAACAGGCCCAGGAGCACAGCTAACACGTAAAGAAGAAATGATTTGCATCATTCACTGCAATATTTCAATAATGAAACTACAAACAGAGGAAACATGATGAAAAAGTTTTGAGCCAATGGTAAGGTCAGCTATAACTTCATCAGTAAAGCAGAGTTGTGCAACAGAGCTTTTACTTGTGAGCTGTTATTAAATTAATTTATTTAGCTGATTTGAAAAAGGCAAAGGGAAATTCATAAAAATCAAAAACAGACTCAAAATGTGCAACAACACTGGCTTGAAACTGACGTCATATGAAAGCAGGCTGTTCTGTCTTGAATGAACCAAGCATGCAAGAGTTTATTTCTCAAATTCTGCCTAAACTTAAATGTTATCCAGTACACCATTTCCCTCCCCCCCAAACCGTATCATGCTTTTATTTGCCAAAAGAACTCTGCCAGGCTATACAAAGGCACTGGTTAGGAGGGTAAATCAACACCACAACAGTGCTGATATCTGCCTGCTTCGAAGCAGCAGTGTGTCACTGTTGTGCTTTCCAGGTGCTACTGTTGAGTTACCATCGTCTCTGCTTTTCATCACAAAGGGCAGCTCACTAAGTGTAAGCATTAACACATATTAACTAATAAGTGTAATGATTAGATACAGCTGAAATGAAGTTCAGCACACAGTTGTACATTGACCTTAAGGCTGCTCTACATCAGGTGTTGCACTTTGCCCTGATTTTTCTGCAGTATCATTCCATGGTGAGCGCCTAGTTCCACTATGTAACCCTTGGTGTGAGGAACGAAAAAATTCAAGCCTTATTGCATAAAAGGGTATCCCGCAGTGCCTGAAAAAGTCCACCCACCCATTTGGCAAAGCAAGTTTTTTATTGCAGTGGTTTGTTGTTGGTCCTTTGGTGCTGGGTTAGCCAGCAGACTAGTCTCATGAATATTATAGTTTATACAATATTAGAGAACTTTTTCTTCACCCCAACTAAAATTGTGAAATCAACTACACAGGCTGCTAGCTTGGTAGGCTTAAACAGCTGGTCATACTGGACAAAACATGAAAGTCAGATGCAACACAGCGGTGAGTTCCTAAAGTGGCACCAGGCAGCCGGAGCTTCACTCTGTTACAGGCATACACAAGACTAGCTGTGTCTTATGTATACTAACTAACTTTCTTTTTGATGAGTCAGTTAGTGAAGTCAAAGCAGACGCTGGTGAGGCAACAAAATGATAATTAGTTCTGGTTAAAACATGTGTTCATATGTCACCTAAAAAGAATCAGTAACGAGAAGTCTTCTTTACAAAGTTGATCTTCCAACAAACTGCAGCAGCTCACATTCTTCATGGTGAAACCAGCTGAATCCAGCAATGACACTCTGGTTTAGCTTCCTAGTGACTGACTGGTTCATCTGCTCACTTTATCCTTGTTGGCAGAATAGTTTCCTGACCCTACAGCACCTTTACTGAAACAGTCATTACTCATTGCTGGATTATTATTATTTTATTTGTTTTGTCTTGTTCTTCTTTTGCTTTTTTGTTCTATGCCAACACCACCAACCGTACATGCCTGTAAAATAAATGTTTTATCAAGGCTTACAGAGTGGAGCACACTCACAGCACCTCTGCCGTGAGGAAACAATATACACTTAAAGTACTAGGTAAAACAATTTGTTATTATTTTTTTAGTTAATAGTCCCAAACTCAGAAATTTGCAGCTCAGGTTATGGTGAAATTAGACTAAATGATTAATGCTCATATCAAACCTTTTAACCCCACACAGCAGTCATGCAGCACTTCCATTCAAAGCTAAAACTATATATATATATATGTATGAAAGTCAAGTACTGCTTGAATCAAGATTCAAACTATATCCCATAATCCTTTTTTTTACTTTTCTGTCACAGTTCCAACAAATAGTAAACTTCCTCAAATTAGCAAGACTAGTGGTTTTCTGCAGGGCCACTGCATTAGACTGCATTGTGTTTTAGATTTCCTCCATCCAATGTTTGCCCAAACATACTGAAAAATCAACGTAAACAAAACTAACCTTGTTTCAAGATGCTTGTGCAAAACGTTACGTAAAGTTACTTTGGCAATAGACTGCAAAGCTTTCAGACATTTTAATCTTTAATCTTTTTTTCTTTGCACACAACAAAACTTTAAGCCTTGAAACCTCACAACTTTTGCATGACTGATAATCCAAAGGGTGTGACACACAGATGGTGTCAAAGGGTCAGTTCCAAGTGTTTTTAATGTAGACCCCACATTAACCTCATTTGTATCAGCATGCATGTGCCACATAATGACTTCTTTTCAGGATTAGTCTGCTCCCGGTGAATTGTCACTAAAATGTTTCCTACATTACGTCCATCAGATCCTGTTAGAGCACTTTAATTTGTTGTAGCATTGCACCATCTGGTGGCAAAACCAAGGGTTGCTCTTTCTGCAGATTTGGATATATAGTATTTAATCTGATTATTTGGCCCAGGAGACAAACTACAATTTATTTTATGTATGTTTTTTTTCTTTTTTTTTTAGGGATTCAGATAGATTGACTTTAAACACCGTATAAATCTATGATAGAAATCTAGTGTTACTTCCTTCCCTACATAAAGACAAACACAGTGTAGCTTTTTTATATCAATGTATTAATGTTTTATTCTAATTACAATAAACAGAATATATCAGTCCCTTATTTGTACAAAAATACCTGAAAAGGTTACAATTAAGATTTATAAGCCATTCAACTATTTACAGATTGAAGCAAAGCACATTATGAATACAGGAGCTCTCCCTTACAAAAAGAGATAAGTTACTGTTTTCTTTTTTTGCATTCCCTGAAATACATAATAGTTTATATTTTTATATATAGATATATATATATTTTTTACTTTAGTCATTTGTACAGCCATGGTATCTTGCATTGTGACAATGTTATGAAAATGCACAAGAGTCAAGAGTATAATAGATCAATCCATCTTTGCAGGATCAGGGCCATTTCACTGTGAGCTCCAAAAGTATTATGAAACTGCAGCTGAAAAGACAAGCATTCATTCCCAACAGCTTTAGCCAGATTCACAGAGCGCAGCTTTCTGTTTCTGAATTGTATTTGTCAACCACTGATTACATTGTGTATCATTTGTGAGTGTGAACGGTGGCTTTGTCGCTCGGTCCACATGTTAGGATTGGTTTGTGCACAGGAAGAGGGGTCATCAGAGGCACCATCTGTGGTTACAAATACCTGGCTACCAAAATTGACAATGTTCTCCACTAATTGCATTTACACTTTTGAGCGTCGTATATCTGTAAGACACAATTACAACATGACGACATAAATCAGATTAGATTACAATTTCTCCTAAATTGCCATCTAATCGATAGCATGAAAATTGAAAGTTTGTTCGGCTGTCATTGCCTAATGCCAGTTTAAATAATTAACATGTTGGTAATGGAGCCATAAATCAGCTCAGGTAGCCAGGCCAGTATTTTAATAAACAGCTTCAACAATAATATTAAAAGCACTATTAAACTAAATGTATTCTTTAAATAGTACAGGATCTACTCAATTTTCTGCAAGTATATTTTTCAAGTAATCACAACTAGCAGATGGGTGGTGCACATGATGGAGAAACGTTCGCAAATCCCAGCTTAATTCAACTCAAATGTTCATTGTCCTGTACATGGAGTCCATTATCATCCTGTACTTAAAGTCTCTTGATGGACCAGTAGTTTCTAACATGCTCCAAGTCAGCCCTGAGCAACCCAGTTACATTCATTTCTGTTAAGTGTAAAAATGTGGATTTTCAAATCCTCCTATTTATTTGTCCAAGTGTTCAATAATTGAATTTACTTTCGGCCTTTTGCATTTAGAGTGAGCAAAAAAATCCTGTAAAAGTTTATGCATATAGAAACTACACATTACAAGGCTACCTGACCTGTTCCTCAAATATTCATGTCTGCTACATTTCACATCAATCAGAAAAAAGAAAAAAAAAAGTAATATTGGGAGTTTGAGGATGAGTGCAGAAGGGCAGGCGGAATCACAGGAGACTTAGAATAGTTTGACAGTTAAAATCAACATGACAGTGAAGTCAATAGCTCAAGATGACTTTCAGCAACCATAAAAGAAGTTATGTCTTGTTATAATCCAGATTCCGCCAAATATCCATTCGGAAAATACAAGTGATGGGATCCCTACAGAATAAACTCGAGATCCACATTCATGCAAATGATAAAAATAAGCTTTTTTCCCCCCATTTTCATAACATCAATGCTGTTAGGATCTAACATCAATGCTCTGGTACGGTTTGAGTTACATGCAATATGAGCTTATTGTTGCAGTTTTAAGGGTATGAACTGAGAAAAAAGAAATTCTGATAATGCTTTATTGTGCCTGCAGGGTAATCCATTCGTTTAATCATATCTAATCTAAGCATTTTAAGATTTTAATGAAAACATTTAATTTGAATGTAAAGTTTTGTCCTACATCTAAATTTCTAAAATTCTGTCCTCAAGGCAAGGCGTTTAAACAGTGAGCAATGAGAGTGTTGAGGCTTACTTGACCCAGTTTCCAAAAACCTTTTTATAATCCACGTCTATGTTTTTCTATTTTAGCTCACTACAGGACAACAAGGAAATTCGAGGCTTTTAAACGTTAGTGGGTTGAAACCCACTAGTGGGTTAGTGGGTTCTTGATTTTTTTCTTTTTTTTTTTTTCAGATTTTGGAGAAATAAGAACAGTAATTAAAAATGGGATTTAAAAAATTATAATTTAGTGGCTAATGCTTTGGGAAACCCTGGTATTTTTTGTTATTAGTTTCACAACATTCCACTTGTCGTCTATTGGAATGATAATTTTAACACTACGGATGCCAGTGTGCTTAAACATCACTTCATAACAAGTGTTGATCATGACAAAATTATTTTTGAATAATCAAAGCTAAAAAAAAAAAAAAAAAAAAGAAAAGAAAAAAATACATCAATATAGGCTATGTCATTACAGTTATAATAATCATCACACTGGTCAATCATTTCATGGTAATGACAAAAGAAAACAGTACAGAACAGCGCTGAGAAAAAGAAATCTAAAATTTTCAAGTAATCAGTCACATCCAGATAAATAAATACATTTTCCTGCAACAATAGAAACAAAACAAAAAAAAAAGGAAAAAAAAAGTCATTGCTTCTTAGATAAATAATGGTGACCATGCACAGAGTGTCAATATAGTGCTGCTATTATGCATCTCAGATGTTAAATATACCTTAAGACAAAAATGGCTGTTGATGTACGTAAGTACAAATAGATTTCTAATAATCTGCTGGCTGGTTGCCTAGACAACCCTACCACCAAGCCTTGGACTAAAAATTTTCAAGAAATTTTATGTGTACAAAAGGAAAGAAAAAAAAACCAAAAGCTTTGTGGTGAGATATTTCTGAACCTAACTGACTGGTTGTGGCTTCTGTGAAGTGACAAAATCCAACCAAGAACTTCCAGTATTTACCTGTGTCTTTCCTGGGTTCTGCCTTTTATGAGTTATCCTTTAAGTCAAATCCCAGCTGTCAAATTCTGGGAATTCCCTGGGAGTTCACTATAGTTAATTACAGGAGCTCCATTGTAGACTCGGCCAAAGAGAAATCCAGTAAAATACTTTTTTGTTTGGCTGACCTTGGCTCGTTTTAACAAAGAAAAAAAAAAAAAGATTCTTGATCAAATTGCTCTGTCTGGGTCATAAAGTATATCCAGTGCCCTGAAAATAGCTCTGTACGAGTTGTCTGTCTGTGTTCTCCGTCTGATACTCTCATCATCGGCACTCAAAAACAAATCACGTACATGTCACTGAACTCAAATGAAGGGAGGCGGGTTAAAGTCCTCAAATGTTCTGTTTTTTGTTGAAGCCACTGAGTATGTTCCAACAGTATTATCTAGCTGTACGATAAAGAAAGTGTAATGAGAGTGGGTGAGGAGGAAGATGAAAAGGACATGCAGGCATCATTTTTTTTTTTTTAGAATATTGTGATGAATTTCTCTCTCTACACATTTTATCCACATTGTCCTAGCAGCTAGCTTTTTTGTCAACATTCTGTCCTGATCTACAAAGAGGTGGTGTCTACTGGGGCAGTAAATTTATAGGTAACACTGTTTGTTCTTACAAGTACTTCCAGGTAGTAAAAAGGCCACATTATATGGAATGTAATGCACGGAGTCTACTATTGGTGTCAGAGCAAACCTAACCATGTTTCTAGCCACATGCACGTTTGACAGCATCTCACTGACTTCCAACAGATAGGAGGTAATTTGTGCAACATATATGAAAATAGGGTGAAGACCTGGGATTGATTGTTCCCCACAGGATCCGCTGCATCTCTGGGTCGATGCAATTTTAGCTTGACGCAGATTAATATTGATTTTGCTTCCTTTGACTTGCTGTCAGTTATTTGGGTAAAACTCTTGAAGGAAATGCTAGTGGTTAACCTTCCCTGTGCTGTGGCTAGGAAAATCAGACAAAAAAACAAAAAACAAAAAACTGATACTCTCCTTTGGCTCATGTTATCCTCTGCACTTGGCAGCATTATGCATTTGCCTGCAGTGAAAGAAAATAGATAAAACCACGACATGCAGCTGCACTTACTAATTTCCTCCACTGCACCTGAATTTAACATTACGATCACCAAAACTGCCTGTCTGGTTAGAATTCTTTCGTTTTTGTGGAAGTTGCCTGGGAAATACTTTGGGGAGCTGAAGTGAGCAACAGAATGTACATAGTAGAACGAGTACAGAGCGACTCTGTTGTAGCTTATGTGAATGATGAAGAGTTGCAAATATCCAGAATGCAAAAGGTCGACGTTAAACAAAATTATTCAAGAGAATATTGCTAACAATACATGACTGCAATTGATGCATCATTAAGAAAAGAAACCCTGTGTGATCAGAAATGATGGAATACACTTCTGAAAGGGTAAACAATGCAGATTTTGTACTGTCCACAAAATACTTTGTTTTAATAGTTCCAGATTCTTCAATTTTTTTAGCTCCAAATCTCAAAAAGAGAGAGAGTGAGAAAAAAAAACACAACCTTTCTGGTGCCTCCAAATCTCATCCATGTTGAATTCGGACACGTCCATGCATGCCTATGACACTAGAGGGCGGTGGCACCATCTCACAGTTAAGTAATGCGCCAGTGGAGAGGTCATGCACCGTCAAAGGCCACACCCACTTTAATGAGTACTAAGTGACAAGAAACTCTCCATCTACAGTATATTCTTCGAGGATGTGTGATCAAAAGCTTAAATGAAACTACTGTTTGTTCTCCGAGAGCAGAGTGGTCCACACGAAAGCTTGAATTGTCCTGCTGATTGTCCAGTTGAAGGGTAATACAGTCTACGGTTGAGCTGTGTGATTAAAACCTTGAGGGCCCATGCTTATTAATGACTAATGGGAGCAAGACTGTGGAAGATTTTGCAACAGCATTGACACAAATGGCAGTGTTCATTTCCTTTATCTTCTTCTTTTCTTAAAACGAGTGACCGAGTTGTGCATCCGACTCCTCAAACCTCCATGCAAGTCAAAAGAAATCCAACAAGTCAGCAGTCTCCAGCGGACTCACAACAATATAAAACAACGACAACGAAACATCAGTCAATTCACCAGCTTCTTAAAAAGATAAAAACAAAGAAGAACCAGCCGACAAGGAGATTCTTTTCGTTTCTGTTTGTTTTTTAGGCAGAGTCAGGTCAAGTGTCAGGGTTCAAAGGGGTCAGATGATCCGGAGGTGTCATAAGGCCACGACGGTGCACGGGTGTTTGAGTTTACAAGGCAGCACTCCTCTGTTGAGCTGGTAGAACTCCACCAGCTGAATCAGGTCGGTGAATTTGGTGGCGCCGTCATCAAGGCTGAAGAAGACTTGGCCATCCTCTTCACACTGGCCGCATCAGAGCATAACCCAACAGGGACACAGCATGTGGGAAAAAGACAAGAGTTGAAAAAGACAACATCAGACTTTCTTATCAAGGACCAAAACATTAAAACATTGCTTTACAGGTTTGGATTTGTTAGCAATAGTTCACATGTATTTCTCATTATTGCAAACCTTTCTATATTTCTTGATTTCCAGATACACAAAAGACTAGATTTACTTTATCTTTTCATGCATTGCCCTCTGGGATGACATTGATCACAAACATAAATGGAAATCACCAGCAACAATCTATAGCTGACTGGCTAACCAATGCAACAATATGATCTGTATAGGCTACAGCAGGCTTTTGCCATTTTGATTAGGTTTAGGATTGGTTTGTTGACTTCCAAAATAGAAGAATGTCTTGGATAAAAAGAATTGCTACATAAAAAAAAAAAAAACAGACCCAAAAGTTGCGCAAACTGTATTTTAACCCATTACATACTAAGACATGCTCACCGGTAGGATCTGGAAATGTTTGATTTTCTGGTGATGGCACAATGTAAGCACAAACGCCTTGGGGTTACTCTGACTGACTCTCAGCAGAAACAACCTGTGAAACAAGAGAAAAGAATTCCCTGTGAGAAACTGTGCGGATAAGGTTCACTCAGTATATATATAAAATTTGCTCTTTTGTGAATATGAAAACTGCATGTATAAACTCTTCAGCCAACTTACCCATCTACTTGTCCCTGTTGGTGGATGATACGATGGGACTCTTCTCTGGTTATCCTGCCATGGAACCACAGCTGAGCTATGTGGATGACTAAAGGGAAAATGAAAGAAATCATGATATGTAAGCATATGTCCAAAGAATCTGATGTAGCATATAAACCGAAAACATTTGCAAAAACGTTTAGGATACTTTGGTGTCTCTGCATTTACCCGAGCTTAGTGAGGAGTGGTGTAGTGGACTGTGGGAACCCAATATGTTCATTCGTTGACTCCTCTTCTGAGAAAGACGCCACACAGAGAACACACAATGGGGATTAGTTCATGATCTGATTAGTTCAGGATCGGCATTTCTACTGCAGTATTTCTTGACACACGATGCTGAGGCTTTGCATTTCTTTACAGTAAAGAAAAATCTCAAATAAATTGTAGAACTATCGTATTGTACAATTCTTTTTAACCTTAAATAAGGTAACCTCAATGTCTGAGCACCATAAAAAACCTACTGTATTCAGAAAAGTGGCTTATAGTGACCTGAATGCATTAAGTGAAATCTGACACTAACACTAACAGCGATAACATTAAAACTGCGCCTCACCCTCCACGCATGTCCCTCCTCCATGGCGGCACTCTGAGCCTCTACTGGGTTGTCGATCACCCTGCCTATTCTCCCTGAGAAATCCATTGCCACGAGGGAGTTCTCTGATACACTCCGCTAGGGGGAGACAAAGACACACCACAGTCAAAATGTGCAAACACAAAAGCAGCAAGACAAGGTGCAGCTGCACTGGCAGGCGGTTCATTCTCCTAAACTTGTCAGACTGCTTTGGTAGCTATTCCGATGAATGCATTACAAAAGTATTTCTGCGCAATCAGGGTTTTACTTGTGTCAAAGATGTGGGATGTTTTTTTTAAAGCATGCCGACAGAAGGACGTAATTTACGATTGTTAAAGTTCATTTCAGATAAAGAATGAAACTTACCACAGGAGCAGAAAAGTGTGACAGTAAGGTTTTTCTTTGTTGAGGAATCTTGTAATTCTGGTACAGTATAATCCCGTACTGTAAAGAATAAAGGAACACACTGGTGAACGAAAGCTATTGAATTCCTAATGAGTGTATTGTGAACGGTAAAAGGTTTGCTGGTGGTATCAGAGGTTACTTCCAAAACCATTTCTGAGTCAACTTTAAGAAATTTTCAAACTTTTTGACCAAACACATCAAAGTTATAGGATATATTTTTGTCGTGGTGTTACCTTAAAGAGTCGGAAGGCCGTCATCCAACAGGTTCTGCTCTGTTCGTCCTCGGCACACAACATCCTCAACTCCTTCATCTCCCCTCGGCCTTTATTGGGCTGCAAAATCAGCAGTTTACAGAAATCAGAGCTGCATGATAATGTTTTATTCTCACCACCAGCCTCAAACCAGCACTACTGAGGGAATTAAAAATAACATAAAACAATTTTTAACCCTTAATCTACATATATAGCACATGAAGAAACCAAAACATTTAGCTACAGAGCTTCAGTGCCCTTATTTACATATGAAAGCCAAGACCCTTCTTCTAAGACAGGGAGCTGCACAGGATATGAATCACTGCTCAGCTCATAATATTTCATCATTTCAGTTTTTCATAATGAGATATCGCCTCACTTCTGTCATCCAAGACTCACCTTGATACAGAACGAGTAGTCTGTGGGCGCACCATGCTGCTTTTTGCCTGTGATGACAGTAAAGATGTTGCTGTCTTCTAGGTCTGCTAGTAACTGTAGATGTCTGGGCTCCTGGAGACAGAAATAATTAATAAGTGAGGACATCACAGAGAGAAACCGCCTAGAGGTAAACTGACAGAGGTGTGTACGGGGGAGACCACCATCAAAAAAAAAAAAACACAGGCAGATTCTTTGAAGGTAATTACATTTAAACTGGAATATATTGTCTCGTCAAGATGAAAAAGATTGCGTTGCTGTTACCTTTGAGGTTCCTTTTGTAGAACAGTAGAGTCCTGAGCGCCGCAGGAACATGTAAACTTTCTTCCATGACTTCCTCCCCACGTCCTTCATATACAGATGCCCCTGGATTTCTGGACAGCTACTGGTTGCAAGGAAGTTCTAAAAAAGGGGGAGCGAGAAATACAAATCATTTTTGAATTTGTGCACTCCATGATGTCTCCTGTCAGTGACCCTCTGCCTCAGGAGGGCACCGCTGGATTACATCTGAAGCCTGTAAGCTCTCTGTCACTGCCACAGCCAGAGACAATCTGTAGAGGCATTACAGACAGGAGGCAATAGCTTTTTGTCAGAGAATAGTGTCATCTGGGCTTCTTGCATCAGTACGAGACTTAAAGCAGAGCGGCTGAGATGGACGGCAGCTTAAATTCTTACAGCAGCAACCACAAAGAAGCCAGACGTTGTGCTACTGTTTGAAAAATCAAAGGGTATCACGATCCTGACAGTGTTGTGTATATATACTTATGCATAAATAAGTATAAACAGCATGCACATGATTTCTTTATGCTTTGTGCTAGGCCTGTAATTAGCTTCTTTTTTTTTGTTGCAAAACACCAAAAAAGAAAAACGCCATAAACACAAAGTGTCGTGTTATGCAATGTGCCTACCAAGACAAATACACTTCAGTCAACATACATTACATACATAGAGTACATTCCTATTGGGAACCCTTTAAGCTTAAATTGTCTTGTGGGTGCCAGAAGTATTTGGAGTTTGCGGTTTCTATGTTTTACAAAAATATCGCACCATGAAGTGGCAGGTTAAGTTATTAAAGCTGATTTGGGATTCGTGGCTTGCAGCTGAAAGACAAACTGTTCCAGAGGACTCTTCAATATTTAAAGCACATGTTTCCCAGTGTTTTGGAAACTTTGTACTGTGGGCCTCATGCGTGTACATTTTCCAGCGTTTGAGGAGCGCACGTTCACACGCAATGTTAATTCAAAAAGCTTTCTCTTTGAGGCACTACACCTTCCCGCTTTTGTGCTGACATATGCTTCTTGCATAATGCCTAATATTGCAAACACCTGGATGGGCTGAAAGCGCCTCGGTTTGGACAGCACTCTAATTGAGTGCAAAGATCTTGTGTTTAGAAGAAGTCAAACACTGGGAATTCCTGACACGACTCCAGCTCAACCCCATTCCCATTCATTTATTGACTCCTCTATGTAGAGCATAACCGAGCGTAACATCTATATGATCAGCAGGGGAGTTAAAAGCTTTCTGTGAGTGTAAAGGATGAAGGGAAGGATTCCACTTGTGGTTCTGTCTCTGACAGCTCCATTACATGATACAGGAGAGTGCCAGACTGCATGTAAACCCTCCATCCATTAAGACCAAAGCTCCTCAGAATACCAAGAATCTTTTTGTTGTGACTTCTCCCAGACTTTTTCTTTTTTTACTCCTATCTTTTGTGAAGAAGAATATATAACTTCAGAGTATTCTGTGAGTCAGAAAAATCCATATGTGACACACAAGTGTGAATTTGTACTGTGCAAATATACAACAAATAGGTGAGGAACTGTATGTTCTATTTCTGTTTGCCTAATTCCATCCATCACAAGTGCCGGGCTTGCGGTGTGTGTACCGAGACAGTCATGTGTCAACAGAGGATCAACAGTAGTTATTACTGCAGGCTCTGACGAGACATACTGTCTAAGGGTCAGAGGTGAGGTATGCCAGCTTGATTGTACAGTACGTAGCAGGTGCTGACTCTGAGGTAAACTAAACTGTGTGCGTGTCAGGAAGAGGAGTGAGAATGAAATACAGGCACAGAGGGAAATGTTGCGTGCTGTATGTACCTGAAGGAGCTGAGATGGTGGAATTGTATGATTGGTTTCCTGGCACCATGCAACCATGTGCTCTGGGAAAAATGTCTGGTGGAAGAAGAAGAAGAAGGAGAAGAAGAACGAGAAGGAGGAGAAGAAGAAGAAGAAAAAGAAGAAGGTGGAGAAAAAGACAGAGAGAAACAGGCAGAGAATGTCAGCAACCGTGAAAATAATTATAGGGTCAGAACTTGTGACAGAAACAGAGACGTCACGCAAATTTCATTAGTGCAGTCAGCTGTCATAATATTTCACAAGAACATAAAATGAAGATAGACACTTTGTCAAAGGAACATGCCTGTCATAGCAGCAAATAGTCCCACTTTAGAGTAAATAAATACTATTGCACCAGACACTCTTTCATTTGACTGATCTGTGGTGCCATTGTTCTAGCCGTTTAGCAACACTTTGTTTCAAAATATCAAAAAAAAAAAAAAAAGATTAGAATGAAAAACAAACAAAAGCAAAAGCAAAATCAGAAACAAAAGTTATATTTCAACATAGGAACATCAGGAGTGACACGAAAACTGAAGAAATGTCTAAGAAGAATAAATTACCAGGGGGTTTCTGAAGAATTCATATTTGGCATAGTTCTTCCTGAAGAGGAATCTGCTGTCGCTGTTCATAGACGCCTGGACCTGAACCACCAGCTCGTGGTCTTCAAGACACCGTTCTGGGAGGAGACAGGTGGAGAGACGAATGAGAACAATGCAGGAGTTCAGCATGCGTTATGCAAATAATTTCAGAATTATCCTACACATGCAAATATGCGAACTATAAAAAATAAAACACGTACAGCCGTAAAAGTGAAAAGTGAAACATACACAGTAGCACAGAAATGTTTTTAATGCATATAGCAAAAGAAAAAGCTTTTTTGTTGTAAGTCAGAAACAGAAAGTAAACAGCGTAATGCAAATGAAAGAAAAAGTACAATTACTCAGTCTGAAGTAATTTAGGCTAAATTTAAGTCTGAAAGTCTGATTTTCCTAAAAATAACAAAAACCAGATGAGTGCTGTGTTTTTATTTCACCTGTTCTTAATGCAAATCAAGCAACATCTTCTTATAATCAGTGCAGTGTTTGGTCTTTTTTTTCAATCTGTGTTGTTCATCCATCCAATTACATTTACTCTTTCGTATCATTTCTGTAACCACTAGCTGTCTTCGTGTTACACAAATTTGCACTGTGCTACTACACCGTCACAAAGCTTTAAAGGATGTATACATGAACGCTGTCACCACACGATAAATAAGAATTAAGCATAAGAAAATAAAAGGTGTGTGACAGGGTCTAAAATTAAAATAATCCCTGGTTTCATCAGTGGCGTAAAAGGATCTGGAGCTCCAGACTGGTTTCATTAGTTTGTGCTCATCAAACCAGCTGTGACTGATGATGAGGTCCAGGTTTTTCAGTGTGAAGCTGTGATTCATCTAAAAGCGTGTCCTTGTATGAACGTGGTCAGAGGTCTCGGTGATTTATATTTCTGGATTGTGACATTGAACCCGGACGTGAGTCAGTTATTTCCAGCAACCTCACAAGTTCTGTCATGTCGTTAATAAAAGACATCCCTTCTTTCTCGGTCCATCTAATTAAATTGTGTGACATGCTTAACTTTTGCAATACAAGTGGCTGGACTGATGTTAAAAAGAAAGAAAGAAAAGAAAAGAAAAGAAAAAATGAGAACTTCAGAGGAATCTAGCTGCACAGCTTTATCTCTCATTATTATCTCATTTCATGTGCTCCCCCTCCTCTTTTCCCCCTCCGTCATAATCTCTTCACACTGTCACGACTCGTCTTTCTCTTTCCGTTTCATCCCGTCGCCTGTCTGATGACTCACTCATGTTCGTGATGGTGACTCACCCCGGCAGCAGCACCTCACTGTCCCGCAGTTGTTAACCTTTTTGGAACTGATGAGCAGAGGTCAATGTCACTTATCTCAAAGGGCCATTTCATCCCGATCGGCAGCGGACTGAGTGGGCAGCGACGTACAGGAATAAGCCTCTCTGTTCAAACGCTGTATTGTTCTACTCTCTCTGAGCTTCTATTCTCGTCTCCCACCCAACTTGCATGTGCACACATTAAGGATCGCGGCACATGTGTGTGCAGAGCAGACATACACAAGCGCACTGCGTGTATTTTCCCATGCTACATTTTCATTTAAATATGTATTTTGGCAACGGAAAGACATAAAACTATTTTATTACACTCTCGACATGATGCAAAACATCAGCAAACAGCTTTTGGATGATACATCTATCTAAGATACACAGAGGACTAGTAAAACATAAAATCAACACTTAATGCTAAAGTAATTTAGACAAATGGAATTACAGCTTGTGACTGAAAAGCAATTAGCCACCTTTTTCAACTACAGCACAGAAAGATGCTTCTAAAAAGTATGTGTTTGAGACACCGAACAGAGCTACAAATAGGCCAAAACCAAGACTTAAAATATCTCAATCACATGTGACAGCACACAGAGGGGACAACAACGACAACCAAATGGAATCATGCCAAAATATTTCCAATAATCATGACCGTGATTATTTTTTATATTATTTTGTTATAGTGACAAATCCACACACATCTACAAACACACACATCCAGTCAGATGGTTACGTATCTGCTGTGGAAAGTGCATAACCTTTCAATTTTAACAAACAGCATCTCATTTACTGAAACCTCTAAACATTAAATATGATAGGTAGTTATTCCAGACGTGAAAAGAACACAGTTGCAGTACAGGTGCGCCAGAATAGAAGAAGGGCTATAATAGAATGGAGCTACTCCGAGCCAAAAAATGATGTCATTCACAACAAGCCAACCTAACTGTATTTGGCAGCATCGTGTTGGCAGCGGTGATGAGAAATGTAAGCAGATCATGATGGATGGTGAAATATTAGGTTAGAGCTATGGGACCTGTAATTTGAATAATGCAATACATTTTCTAGAAGTTCTTTCACCTGACAGCATAACAACCAGCACAAAAAATTAAAAAAAAAAATGCACTGACAGAAGTTGGAGGAGTCAAATGTTTTCACATATGTTTTTCACCACGTCTCCTCCTGCACTATGTTTCGCTACCAAACACACAGCTCTATATAAAATTACACCCCCCTTTCTCTCCCACATCTGTTTAACTGTACAGACATGAGCAGAGAGCACAGGCTCAACTTGTCTTCCATAAGTGCTTTATAATCGCCCTCTCCTCAGGGGGAGGTTGGGTTTTTTTAACGTTCAGCTGGCCACAACTTTCCAAAGCTACTGTTATATTGCCAAGTCTAACACAAAAAAAATCACACCGACAGAAATGCAAAGCTCTACTTAATGCAGCAACAAGTTAAAATACCTCGATTAGCCCCTGGAATAGAGCTGAGTTCTCATTGTGTCGCCTGAATGCTGCATTAGTAGAGGTGCTGTGGTACAATTATGTGGTAGTCCAAACAGTCACTGCTCTGGTTTTGTAGCACAAATGGGAGTCGGTGCCAACTTCAGCGAGCTTTACCTTAACTCCACTTTCTCAAATACCTCAAGCTGTGTTTACCCCTAAAATCTATAAAGAATCTACTGTATAACATGCTGCCTCTAATTATAAACGGCCAGACAATTAAAATGCACTTGAATTAAATCTGTTACATCAGGTATTCTACATAGAACGATATTCCTCATTTTTGAGTGCGCACAACTATCATGATTTCTACACTGTATTAGTGGAGAGGTCCCTGTCTGGTGCAGTGAGTGCTTCTATTTTCAGGAGAGCGGTGTTGGTGTATATCCACTGCCCAACTAAAGAACCTCTAACACGAAAGAAAAGGCTTTTAAACTCCTCATCAATCATCGCCATCACCTCCCTGACATGTCATTTACAGTGCTGGATCTATTATGTTTCACCACCTCTGATACAGAGAAGACAAAGTCGAGAAAGGTTACGTTACAGAGTTCATCAGTTACATCAGTACCTCTCCTAATCCATAACAATCAATTATCACTTTCACTCTCCGTAGCGTCTCATCTGCTAGCATCCATTATGAGCCCCTAATGTAATTCCTCTTCATGAACAAGTGAAGAAAAATTACATCACGCATTCAGCTTAACAGTCTTTTTTAACAAGCAGCCCAGGGCTCATAACAATGTGAGGTGGAACTGTGACCTTAAATGAGCCCGAAAAAATATCAGGTTGTTAAATACAGCACTCTCTGTTGCTTCAACGGCATAAATCTTTATCTCAACAACCGACGGCAAACTAGATTGCTCCGTAAGGCTCAAAGGAGCCCAAAGATGTAGACATCAGACTGCAAAATGTATGATAATATGTGTTTGCTGAATTTATGAGATGAGACCTGAGGGAGTTTCTGGAGCTTCTCCCGAGATGTCCTGGAGCAGAATATTGGTAAGCTCTAATAAGGAACCCTGGGACACACTGTCTTCTCTTACAGTGAAGCTGCTGTTTACTTAGATGGAATAACCTTGGCTGACTTACATCCCCTTTTTCATTTAAGCATACCCATATGCACCAAAGCCACAAATATATCAGCTAAATATAACAGAACAATGACTTAATTAATCCCAAAAGAACTGTATTTAGTACCAGGTTCAAACAATGTCAGATTTCAGGATTATTCATCACCTTCTACCACTTTGTCTGTCATTTAGCAGCGACTGTTATATCTCCAATACAAATGATGTACATGCAGCTCAGACAAGATCTTTCCTTTCATTTGTCTCTTCACTATTGAATCTTCTTTCAATTGTCTCCTCCCTATTGTATCTTCTTTCAATTGTCTCTTCCCTATTGAATCAGAAAATAATCGACCTGTCACTGCTAAAGTAACTCTGCTCTCTGCTGCAGCAACTTTCCACACAGCCACCGTGTTGTACTTGATTAGATCACTGGACATTATGGCTCTATGCGTGCATATGCTGGATAGTATGCACATGCACTCATGCTTGAATACATGCCTACGTGAGAATATGTGCCTCAACTGTCTGTCCAAGTATGCGGGCATGCATGCATGCATGCATACATTTGAATGCACCTGTGTAAGTCAGTGATTGTGTTGCACGTCTTAGGCCACCCAAAAGCCTACGAGTTTCTATGTAGGCAAACGAGACCTTCTGTTCATGTGTGTTTGTGGGTGCTTTTGTGTGTATGCGAACAGTGTTTCAGGCCTGCAGGACTCTGCCCCTTACCTAGCCCTAGCAGCGGGTGGTGTTCAACAAGTGCCCAACTGTTGTCATCCACACAATGGCTTTTATAAACCAGGAGCTGGCACAAGTCCCTGGCTGTCATGTCGGCTGGGATCTCCACAACTTTACCCATGCCGTCTTCACTGAAGATCTTCACAATCTGCGAGGGGAAAATAGAGAGGATTTGGTTAGAATGAAAATAGACCACATAAAGGTGGTTAGATAAACAAAAGAACAGTGTTTTAATTACAAAAAAAATACAAAAAAGAACAGTTATACAAGCGTCCTTCATATGCGACAACTCAGCAAATACAAAGGATGAATGAAAAATAGGATGACAGTTTAAATATGACTTTTCATGGTAACCCCACAGGGAACACGGAGTTTTGATCTACTCATTTTTAACACAAATCATTTTTGAAAATTCAGCCTAATAGATGGGTGAAGCCAGCAATTTTCTTCAAACACCGTCACGGTATTTATCATATAGAACTATAGCATGCACAGGCCTGTAATTACAGCACACAATAGAAAAGAACATAGATCCAAGACTATGTAGTAATTGTGGTGTTAGAAATCACAGACAAGCACTTCTTTTTACAACTTGTTGCTGTAATATAAAAGCAAATATACTATAGTGTATAACAAGCATCTGCTCTTGTGAACACAGCTCAGCTGGGTATATATTGTACTGTAGTTTAAAGGAAGTGAGCCTGGAGTTTGTAATTATAGCTTACAAAGCAAATTTCCGCACGTATCCTAAGTTAAAACATGACAATAGTCTATGCGCTTTACAACCCAAATTGAGAAAGACAAAAATCCTCAGAACTTTGAATTAAAATTCTACACGTATTTAAATGTTAATATTCACATACACACTTAAATACTACATATTTTTCCCAACTCAGAGAAACACCTGTTTTCAGTATGTTTCCACTGATCATACCGACTCAAACACATACCCGCACACTTATCTGCTGGTATAACGTATGTGCTTTTTGGAAATAATGCCTAATCAGGTGCTCAACAGATAAAACTTGTGTGAGAGACACCCATTTATATACAGACATCTACAGGAGTATGGTATGCTGAAGATAAGCCTTTCTTTCACCGTGCGATCCAAAAAACATATAACTGCCATCCCTAATGTGGTAAAACATCCTAAATTTACTTCCACCAAGTGTCCACAGGTTGTTATTCAAAAGATGTCATGCATTAACATTCAGGAGGATCCATATCTAATGGCCCACAGAGAAAACTAGAGCAGCCCATTTAGCCTACACAAGAATTCAGCCTACTAAGCCTTCACATGTAATCTATGCATGCTTCCCACATAATATATCATGACAAAGAAATTCTGTTCTCTTCCTGAGCAAAGAACCAGCTTATAGCATCTCAGTTTGCACAAACCAGGCCCGAGGCACTCTCCCCATCAAAAAAAAAAAAATAAAAAAATGCTCAGGACGAAAAAGCCTCAATCATTCAAAGCTGCTGACGTATTTGACTCTGTTTTATTGCTCTGCTCACATCTTGAAAAAGACAAATTGTCTTCGGCCTTTCAAGTATTTACACATTCCATTTCTTGCCTCTGGTTAAGCATGGCAGTACTTCAAAGAGAGCCAGTCTTAAATTGTAAAAAAAAAATAAAGAGAGAGAGAGAGGGAGAGAGAGAGAGGGAGAGAGAGAGAAGGAGGCATAGAGAGGCAGAGACACACAAGGAGAGATAAGAGGCAGAGAAACAGAGCGGTCTTACCTCCACGGCCCGCAATAGGCAGCAGTCCGGGGAACACGAAGGCATTTTTTGGAGTGAGTCCGGCTTCCCGAGTGCTCACATAAACACACGCACTCGCTCACACACAGTCACTAAGACAGAAAACCTTGCTGTTCTGTCGCCCTGTCTCCTCCAGAAAAGAAAGATACAAATTTGAATGCCGACAGCTGACAGTTGTGCTACCTGTCACACAGCTAGTCCTTCAGTCTGTCTCTAGGCCGCCAGCTCTGTCAGGAGAGAGAGAGAGAAAAAAAAAAAAAAAGAACTGCCTGTGTGACCTAAAGCCGGTATGTGTACAGCACACAGAAACAGTCAGCGATCGGATGGCAGCAGGTACAGTACAGTGCTTCCAGTGCCGGCTGAGTCTGACAACTATCGTTTTTCTCTCTCCCTCTCTCTCTCTCCCTCTCTCTC